ACACACACACACACACACACACACACACACACACAGAGGAAAGCAGAGGATTGAAGTGAGGCAGGAGTAGTAACCACATATTGCCCCAGAGTGTAAAGAGGATAAGATTTGGGACTTGGCAGATGCCTGGATGTAAGTGCGACCAAATGGTTCAGTGATAAACAAATAAAACCTGACTGAGGCGTATTTGGCTCTTGGAGACATCAAAATTCATCAATTTAAGGATTCTATCAGCCTTTTTTTTATTCTTTCCGTCTCACTCAATACCACAAGTCTTCACTCTGGATAAAACTCCTAAGTTTTTTTTTTCTTTTTTTTTTTCCAAACCCACTAACATTTTGCTTTTTTACCACTCAGTTTTATCCATTTAATATTGAATTTTTCTCCCCTTGTTTTTCGCTCCACTTCAGAACCAGCGGGAGCAGAACTACACGGTCCTGAAGACTCGCTCCAACATGATGACGGTGGACGGGCTGAAGCCGGGGACCACCTACGTGTTCAGGGTCAGGGCTCGAACCGACGGGGGCTACGGGAGCTACGGCGGGGAGATAGAACTGGAAACCAGCCACGAGGGTAAATGGAGGATTAATGAAATATTTGATTTTAATTAGCGCTTTGAGGTTTTCTTCTTCTGCTGCTCTGAGCAACTGCTCTATTCTAATTTGTCCCGTCGATGTTAGTGGATTTTAACAAAAAAGACTAACAGGAGGGCAAAATCCGGTGCCGTTTTTCATCAAGTTTGGTCATGAATCTTATTCATCTACAATTTAAATCAATCCACTAGGTGACTATGAGAAAAAAAAACTGCTTTTATCCAAACCTTTTTTCAGTTCTGCTGTCAAACAGAAACACCCTGGCACCTTCGCATGTTGTTATCAGTATGTAAATATAAACTATTGGCTTCAACGAGTTGTAAAGGTTGAAAAAGTTTATTTCCAAAGCCAGTAACAATCTTTTTTTACTTTTTAGAATAGATTTCTCTTAAAGGAACAGTCCAGATCATTTGAAGAGGGAGTTCTGTGGAAACGTTATGAACACTCAATATCTTACCTGTAGTAGATCGCTGTTAGCTTCTCACAATATTGATGAGCGAACTGTAAAAAAAGTGTTTTTCCTTGTTAAGGCTCTGTCACACTATAACAGTTCAGAAAACTTATGCCAACTTATAACATTTTTAATGTCTAAATTACTAAGAAAGTTAGATATTTGATCAATTTGTTAGCATTACAGTATTTACACACCTAAAAGAAGCTTCCAGTTGATTTTATTTTATTCCATCTTCAATGTCTAAAACTTTATTGTGTGACAGAGCCTTTAAAAGAACTCCAGTCTCTAAAATGTTATAGCATTTTGTGTAAAAAATATATATAGTTTTAAAAAGCTTTAGCTGTTAATTTTATGTTACAGTTATTCTGAGACAGGAAAAAGTAAACATGATTTTAGAAAATAAATAAGAAAAGGAGTCATAATGCTGAGCACAGTGACATAAGATCATGGCTTGGAAGTACATGCAGCACGTTAGAACTATTTTACTTATTTTGCTTAGTGTTTTCATGACATTTTGGTTTTGTTGTGGAGAGTAAGAATGATTGTGCTAATATTTTTGATATGTGTGATCATGTTCTATTATAAAGAAACAAAGTGCACAAGTTCTGATGTTCAACTGTTATTACAGACGTTGATCCTTCACATTGAAAAGGGACTGTTGTTCATTTCATTTTTTCCAAGTTAAATGGAAACTTTATGACACTCACTCAGTGGTCCTCTGATTAGCTGTAGCAGTTTATAAAACAGTTTGCACAAACCAATGTATTTATTTTCAAGATAGAGCTGTTTTAAGGTTGTTCAGACCACCTGTTAGCATGTCAAGCTATTCAAAAAGCTGTGTTAAACAGGTAAGATATTAATTATTCCACGGAATCCCACCTCAAAAGAGCTGAACTTCTTTAAATTCAGACAGAAGCAGAGCAGAACTTTGAGCCTTATGAACAGCACACAGTGTACTATGTAAACTCTCTATGATATTGTTGTCAAACTTTTCAGCCCGCATCTGTTTCTCCTTTGTTTGCTGTCATCCACCTTTATCATTGCTTCATAATGTGCTTGGGGATTTTCTGCTTTAGCGGCCCTTTAATGTGCTCTTCAAAGTGATCATTGATTCCTAGACGGGCTGGGAGAGTGCAGTGAATCAGTAAACATGTAGTGCTGCAAAATAGATTCACTGTGCAGCCCACAAAAAAGCATACATTAGTCTACAAATCATCCAATAGCCAATAAAGAGCTTGATTTCTGTTCCTGTGTTGCCTCAGATATGAGGAATGTGATTCTAGCTGATGCTGCAGAAGTGTTTCTGGTTTATAAAGCTGTTACTGAACCCTCAGAGAACAGGCTTGCATCTTACTTCTGCTTGTCAAAATCACATCAAAGGTAACTAATCAGATCAGTTGTATTGATCATTACTGAAAGCACATCTGTTTATACCAGCAACTGTTAAAGGAGATTGATGCCTATCTGGGCTTTTCTCAGGGATTTAATRTGACTCTTCAAGACACTCGCCCATGCATATTTATATGTCCCACGCTCTCCCATACACACACATAAAGACACACACACATGTCAGCTCATGCTTAGCTAAGCCAGATAAATGGGGTATTTGTTTTGAGTAATGGCTCGATTGGTGTGGCGTAAAAATCGATGCATCTTTGCAGAAAGTTCTCAGCAGTATGCTTGTTATGTGCAATGTTAACATATCCATTTGGACAGGGCGGCCGAACGGGCGATGGTTTCCACATCCACAGTTGTAGCTTCATAGGCGAGAGAGAGAGAGAGAGAGAGAGAGAGAGAGAGAGAGAG